GTATGGACCGGAAGTTCCTGGAATGGAAGACCGATATTTTCTTCGTGGACCCCGGACTGAAAGTGAACGCTGACGGTTACATCGACCAACTCGAGGAGAATATCCTGCCTTCATGTCGTCGCCTGTACCATCTTGGAAACTTCGTACTGCTACAGGATTGGGTGCCAGCACATGGAATCGAAGGGCGTTGGAAAAACTCTCGCCTACTTGGAATCGAAGGGCGTTGAGAACCTGAAGAAGACGGAATATCCAAGTGTGTCACCTGACCTGAACCCCCTCGATTACCGGCTCGAGGCTCAACAGGTTGGTCTACAGTGGTGGGGAAGTCAACGAGCTCGCTAAACTCAGGCACCGAGTTACGGTAATATTGCACAATGTGTTGTTGAATTTGATGGTGGAAACGTCCAATCAGAATTTGATAAAGTGTAACTTATAGCGCCTTGAAAGTCGAGGAAGAAAAGTGTCTTTTTTATTGCCCCCCCCCCTGTATATATATAAAAGCTGCTGCTATAGCTGTGCTCATATATAAGCTGAAGACTTCACGCAGAGAGAGGTTGTTCACCAATTGAGTGTTTGCATGTCAAGGGGAATCGAGCGTATGTGTTGAAGGGCTCAAGAACTGTGAAGATTCAACGCTACGTTTCCGGAAGTGGTCGTCTCAAAACGCATGACATACCTGACCTACCTGAATCTGCGTCACTCCATGCAGTTCAAAGCATGGAATGACGCAGATTCACCCCTTTTCCCAACATGAAGTGCGAATTACGGAGCCTGGCAATCACTTACACTTGACAAGAATGGAGCATGTTCCAATTCTTAGACGAGTAGAATACTGACTGCAACTTCATCCTGCCTCGTAGGATTCAACCAAGAGATGCATCTAAGAGTGGGAGTGACAGCGGATTCGAACAGCAAGGCAGACGTCATGGTGATTTAGTCGTTTTCACCTCCAAAAATCTTCCCAAGCACGCTAGAAGTATGAAAAGGAAAGGGAAGCCAGCAATGCTGTCGTCGTTTCTTCCTATTGCTTCGTCTATAACTAGTGGCCCTTGGAGCCGCAAAAAAGGCTTTGTTGAATTGATGAGCCTATCCATGAGGAGACATCTACCAAGGGGCTCCGATATAATGAGTAGAAGTGACAAGTGGGTTCATACCATCCTTATCACTGGTTCTACCAAACTCTGCTTGCTTTCCTCTCTAAAAAATAAAAAACGGTTAAATTCCGTGGGTTCACAAATTACTGGGCGTCTTTGATTCGCATAATGTCATAAGGAATGCACAGTTCCATCGTTATCGCTGAGTCTCCCTGTTATCGCTGAGTCTCCCTGTTTTCCAGTTCCTGAAATCCTGTAATTTTTTTGCCTATGTTGTTAGAGGGCAACTAATGTTATTCATACTACTGAAGTGGCACCCGGGCGATTCTATCGTCGGCAAGTCAGGCGACGCCGCACACGCCGCGCCGCGGCAATCCCGGAGTTGCATTACCGTACTCCCGAGTTGTCACTGAGCAAAGGATTAGACTCTTTCAAATTGTTAAAGGGATCGTCGACCCTTTAACAATTTGAACGCCACGCAACAAAACTCGTACGCGGCGGCCGCCACGCCGCCTCGCTCCGCCCACCGGCGCGACGACCCGACGATAGAATCACCACACACCCGGCTCAATTTACGGTTTGATCACGGTACTAGTAGCGGCTGGCATGTTTTCCGAACCATATTCACA